GTGGTGACCACATTGATGACTTGGAGACTATCTGCAGGGGTAGCACTGATTCACTGGAAGGCATATTGATGAGTTGGCAAGATATTGGTGTTGCGCTGATGAGCGCTGGACTCAGGGAAACTTTGAAACACTTTGTATCCATATTTTTGATAATATAAGCTGTGAAACTCGGTTCTCATCTTCTCTACCTATTATCAGACTACTGTTCGTTGTGTGTGGGAGAACGATGTATGGCATGTACACACTTGCGTGAGATGGTCTCCAGGACCCATGCAACTCATTGTTATTATTATTATTTGGGACAAGGAGGAGGAGGAATGTGGAGAGAGAAGGGGGAATTGTCATTGGTCTTGCTGGTGTACTTCTTCTTCTTCTTCTTCTTCTTCTTCTTCTTCTTCTTCTTCTTTGGTCTCTATCTCTTTGCAAGTGCTTTCATTTCTTTTGCAATTGGGTGGCATTGTTTTTCCTGGTGAATTTGCGCTTCTGAAATAGCCAGGATCATAACAGAAAGAGAAACTCCATCTTTGTAATTATTGAACTATGTTCTGTGTTTAGTTCTGCTTCTGCAGTGCCACAGCTCGGGCAGGTTTTGCATGCATGTGGACATCTTCTGTGCCGACATGTGGCTTTACGTTCTGTAAGCATGTGGACATCTACTATGTCCAGATGCAGGCTCGTGTTTTGTATGCATGTATGTCCACATGCAGTGCCGACATGCGGCTTTACGTTCTGTAAGCATGTGGACATCTGCTATGTCCAGATGCAGGCTTGTGTTTTGTATGCATGTAGACATCTGCTATGTCCACATGCAGCTTCTGAGTCTTCTGTCCCATAATAAATTGCGTATGACAGGTTGGAATTCTGGAGCAGGACAAGCTTGATGATGGCAATGCTGCGCTAATCACCGGGGAGGATATCCGGTCATGGCTAGACTTGAATGAAGAGGCTCAAAGAGAGAAATGGGATGAGGCACTTGCCCATCAGCAGGTCAGCTCTGACATGACCAGTAACAGTCTTTGAACCTGGTACACATGCGGACCAGATTATGCTATAGCTGTGCTCCTGCTTTTTAGACCAGCTCTGTTGGATTTATACCAGGTTGAGTGTATCTGTCCCTGGCTCACTTCAGTCCATCTGCCCCGGTTCACATCCGCTCTATAACCTACCGTCTTCCGCTCAACACAAAACCCTTGGGAAAGGTGTGTTGTTTTCGGGGGAAGCTGGTGGTGTGGCCTGGCCTTAACATAGTGTGTTCCGTTTTCTGCAGGCCATCTGGATCAGACGCCAGATCCCTATCGCTCCCATTGCCAACTCACCCCTCAACACATAACCTCACATTTTCCTATGACAGGGGTACGAGGCCCGGCTTGCTCTTCTACTTTCCTCCCTCTTTGTGTACTATGCTTGCCAGTGCTAAGCAACCGGACTGCTGCCCCCCCAGAATAGATGGGGCTTGGCTTCAAAAAAAAAAAAAAAAAAAAAAAAAACTGAAATAACCTTGCTGCTTCCAGAAGTAATTATTGCTGTTCGCCATTTCATTTTGGGGGCCAGGTCAGCATTTCATTTTGGGGGCTCGTTCAGCATTTCATTTTTCGGGGGTGCTCTGTGCCTTTGTTGCAATTTTTTTTTTTTTTTTTTTTTTTTTTTTTTTTTTTTTTTTTTTTAGGTCCTGGCTCCTTCTATTCTGGGGAGCGTCAGTCCGGTTCCTATTCCACCGGCAAGTCAAAAGGAAGAATACATTGCATCATAGACTCACGCTTCCTCCCGTTTGGCCGAAGGACCCCTGAACAGCATTGATTGCTCCACCATTGGTGGAGGATTGACTGTCAGCTTGCCATGACTCGCTCTTTCCTCTCAGACCTGATAGAACCAGCCCTGCCTAATAAAGCTATGTTCCCTAGAAAGAGCTCGCCCATAATTTCTGCTTGCTTATGCTTCCCTCCACGCCAGTTCAGCCCGTGAGTCGAAGTATCCCTTCCCCCATTGAGCTTTCTCCCTTTTTTAGATGTTACTAAAACCCTAAACCCTGAACCCTCCACTATTGGGCCTTGCTGTCCCTTCTGGGCTGGGTTTTAAGGTTATGTCTCCATTCTATTAGAGTGATACGGGAAACCTGTCTCCCTTGTGCTTTTACTATAACATCCTTTGAGTCAGCCTCTTTTCACATGCTTCTACCTTCCAAATACGTACTTCCATTCCCAGGCTGTGCGTATAGGTACGCCGTTTCCTCTTCAAGATTCTGGTCCGGAGGTGCCTTGCCCTTGCGCAGTTAAACGCTGCCAGACACTTCTTCCCGAGTTGGAGTTGTGCCAGTCCTTCCAGTAGATGCGGTCGTCTCGTAAATCAGCAACTTTCCCTTTTATCAACCATATCCTGCTGAACTTCAGTCTCACCTTCTTTCGCTGTTCCTCATCCTCTGACCATGATAGTTTGATTTTCCGCCAACGGCATAGGATTTCCGCCTGTATCATTGCTTTCGTCTCCAACCAAATCATCTCTCGTGAGTTGGACACTCCTTCGATCGTTCTGCTGCATCTTTCCTTCCATATGATCCATAGTGTCACCTTCCTGATGAGTCCATACCAAATCTTTTCCGCTTTACGGAACTGTTCAGGGATATTAGTCAGGAGGAGAAGTTGGATGGGTTGTTCAGGGAAAGGAGTCGGGAAAAGGGAGTCCCAGAGGGTCGAGGCTCTTGCCCAGAAATCTGTCGCCTCCCTACAGTGTATTAAGCAGTGTACTATATCCTCTACAGCCCCTTCCGTACATACTTTACATTGATCGGAACTGTCGGGGTCTGAACCCTTCCGCCCAACGTGTAGCCACTGGTTAACTGGTAGTGCCGCATATAGAATCAGCCATTGGAGGCTTTTGATTTTGATTGGTCTGATCGTTTTATAAATCTTCCACGGGATCTGTGTGATGTTGTCTGCTTCCTGTCCTATTACCTTCTGCCACCTGGCCTTGATCACTGGTTCTGGGTCTTTTTTTTTAGCAGTAGCTCGTACCCAAGTTTGACCGTGTAATCCTGTATGGGGGTAAGCCTCTTTATGTTTGTACTCCTTTCTGGTTTCCATGCCCACTCCATCGGGTCGAACTCCAGGTTGTGTAAGGCCGTATCGGTTCTGAAGATGAACTTCGGCCATGTGCCTAAGACCCTTACTTTTCTGAGCATGAAGTAATCCATGACTGTCGTTTCCACGTTGATGTTCTTAATCGATGTCATTCCCTTCGTGGAGTGATCAATTGGGAAGGAGGTGAACACCGCTTGAGTGACTGATCCCGGTTGTAGGTGTGAGAATTGGAAGGCCCTAGAGGGGGGGGGTTCCTGCACTTTGATCCCCCATTCTCCACTTTTCCAAGGCTCCCCTTGTTTTAGCATATCTTTCCACTCCTGAGGAACAAGATTAATAATGTACTGCAGGTTGGAACCTCTTCTATGGCATCCCTTCAGACGTTCGCTTAACTCCTGTTCAGAGACCCATTCCTTCTTTTCTTTGTTCCACAAGTGGCTGATTGTCCAGACTCCATTCCTTACCCATGACTGCCATTTGTGGTCTAAGAACAAGGGTTCATCACTTTCGCCCTTTGTTGCAAATTGTAATTGCATTTCTTTATGAGACTGCTGACCAGGAATCCGAGAGGTGCAGGCGCGCACCGATAGACTCATGTTTTGTTTTGTTTTATTTTTTTGAAAAGAAGCCACCCAGTTCGCGGAAAGACTTTGCCTCTCTCGAAAACATGAACTCAGAAGATGCAATAGGAGCAGAGAGGAGCGTTGAGAGCAAGTTAATAGCTGACAACAACAAAAATAGGTGAGAGTCTGCCAGCTGACATCCACGAGTGGCGACACAAACACTACAGTTGAACACGGGGGCAACGGCTCCTAGGTCACACCTAACGTTTGGGATAGGCAACTTTAGCAGTTCTCGAAACAGGGCAAAAAAAGCCACTGCTAAATCTGCATTCCGGCCACTTCAAAAAAACAGCTTCAGTTTTAACCCCCCGCTAAACTTGCACATTCTGAAACTCACACGATGACATCGGTACCACTTCGTCTTTTCTTGCCTATTTCAAACTAAAAAGGTCCAAGGAAAATGAGATATAGCGAAACGACAGAATTCCAGAGTGCAAAAGTCACATTTAAAGCCAGCAAGTCCAAACGCTGTCCAGAAAGCAGTAATGCACTGATATTCCACCAATGGAGAAACAAAGCACTGAATCCGAGTGTCAACGAGAGCAAACTCTCGCCACCACCAACATATGTATCCAGAGTCTTCCTCCTACTTGGCGCTCAGCGCCCAGACCACGATCACATAGCCTACTAGCAGCCTACGAATTGACAATGCATCCTGTCGACATCAGCAACCGAACCGAAGTACATGAAGATTTCGACCCTGGTAGACCATTGCCAAGACCAGGTACGTGCTTTCACATCATCAACATTATCTCTCTCTCACCCTCGACTTCATCACCCACGTTTTCTCCCTCATGCACGAGACCACCACCACGTCCACTGGCTACCATCCAAGCCATGCCCGACTCTGAGGCCTGGCTATGGTGCTGCCCTCAGCAGCACCCTGCTTACCGCACGATCGGACGTGCTATCGAGCACAGCGGCTCCTGCCTTTCTTGCAAAACGCAAAAGCCCTCCCGACCATGTTACACAGGAGTTAAACAAAAACAAAGCAGAGACAACTTGAGGACAAGGCAAAACAACATCGCGAACCGCCGAGACTTTCGTGGTCGCGTCGTCCCTTCAACGCTCTAGCCGGGTGCGCTAGCCGTACTTCTGGCAGTCCCCCACAACAGGATAGGTTTCCACGGGGCACAACTTACCTTCCCTAAGGGGTTGTCACCACCCTTAGTGGTGTATCCCTACCGAGCTACTGACCCTTATGCGATAGCTTTTGCATGTGATTGTAGAGGTAGGTCAGTCGAGGGCGTTTGCTCGTTTCGTTGTGGCATAGGTACATATGGGTAAACACCATCCTAACCCGAACGTTACTCGTTGCTCAGGGCGCTGATCTCCCAAGCTCGAGGCATAGTCGGTCGACTAGGACGGTTTCAACCAAACATGAAACCCATCAATTAATCATATCCCCTTGCACATAACCCACAAAAAATCATTATAGCAAAACACACAAGCCATCAACAAAGCACACGAATATCAAAGTCAGCCTTCAATGCTTTTGCATAACCAAAATCTCAGCAACCATCGCCGCCAAGATATAACCATTGAAAAAAAACCCTTCATATTCAGCTGGTTCAACAAGACAAAAAATATCAGCGCGATGCTGAACCAACTTCAGTTTGACTTGATTGGATGAATTGACCAGCCAAAAGCAATCTTTCCTCGCCCTTGATATAGCCGAAATTCTGAATTGCGCTCCTCTTAGGGAGATGGTGCAATAAAAAAAAACACAATGCCAATGAGGCCTCCTGGTCATTGCGCAGAAGGAACTCAACTCGTTGATCTTACCATCGTGCCTATTGCCAACCTGAAACTCACCTTGATGGAGATATAGGGCCTGGCTCCACTACTCACCAAACATGCAAAATGAGAATGGATCTCCGCTAGAACATGGAAAGATACATCGCCATAACTTTTGTCTCTCTTGTGCATGTCGTGAGTAGTGGCGCGAGGCCTATAGTTGTTTCAATTATTAAAGAAAAGAAGATGTTTGCACAGGATTGTGACAGGTAGGTTTCACAGACACTCCTAGACAACGCCGCACTCCCGCTGGTGCATTTTCCAGCCTTTTTTGAAATTATTAATATTTTATTATGTCTAATATAATATTCACTATTCAAATTTCTTTATTTTAAAACGAGTTTTCTCAGTTTTCTCACCTTTTCCTGAAACTGATTTTGTCACTTTTGTGAAAATTGTGTTTTATTTATGGTCTGAAGCCAACACCTTTTTGGGGACGTTCTTTTCGTGTTTTTTCGGAGTTGGTTCATTCTGTCTGTTTGTTTTTGAACAAGCCAGATCGTCTGGGCACGTGTGTCGCCGGCACACAAGCTTTTGATTGTCGAAAATTGTCAGCGACAGGGGGAGATTGTTGCTGTTACAGGAGATGGTGTGAACGATGCTCCTGCGCTGAAGAAGGCAGATATCGGAATCGCGATGGGGATCACAGGGTAAGCGCCTACATCTCCCTCTGTAGCGGCATCTAAACATAATAATATATCCAATGAACCAAGCCATGAGAACAGCAATGATTCAGAATGCAAAATCTCATCGAAGACCAAACATGACTGAACCGAGTTGAAAGCAGAATACCAAAGCGAAATGCACACCAATAAGGAGCAGATAAAATAATAATAATAATGATAATGATGATAATAATAATAATGAAGCAAACACTCACAGTAGATCCTCTTTGTTAAAAAGAAGAAAAAGGAGGAGCAGACAGAACACCACTGAAGTGTTTTGATAAAGAAAGCCCGACATCTTGTCTCCAAACATCAATACAACAACGATGTAGTAGGCCTAGTTAGGTATGCCCACCCTAATCATTTTACTGCCACCTCTATACATCCCAGCCTCTACCACCTATCTCGCTGTCCACACGTCTCCTCATACAGGCTTCCTCCGCCAACCCCTTGTAGAAACTGCCAGTCCCACTGCCTTACCTTCTTCCCTCACCTCCACACCTCGCGACCCAGCTTCGCCTGAGCCCAGCTATGGCTGGCGCTCCTCTCGCTGCCACCGCAGCTGCTCTCTCCCTTCAGACGCTGCTCCCCCCAGACTCTCACGCAGCAGCACTGCCGCCTTGCAGCAAGTGCCTGAATGCACCTTTTTTTTTTTTTGCTTTTTTTTTCACAAAAATCAGGCTCCAATCTATTCGTGGGGAGCTTCACTTGCTGAGACGCGGGCTCAGCATCCCTTAAACTCCTTTGCAATACATAGTTGAAACTTGAAAGTTTCAGAGAAATGTGAGCACATGAGACAATAAGAGGGGGAAAAAATAAATAAATAAATAAAGCCACTGTGCTGGAAGGACACCAGAGCTGGTGGCCTCCTCTCTTTGTTGCAGACTGGAGGGTGTGTGCAGGCCCAGTAGGCGGTGACTGAGGCCCACTGGGGCTGCTCGCAGGTCCCAGCCTCTAGATCTAACTTGGAGACTGGGCGTACCGGGGGGTGGCTAAGGGCCCTGGCCTCTGCCCATTCACAAAGAGGCCGTCTGGCCGGCCTTCACTTAGGGACAGCGTTGAGATACCTGGTCCGCGATCACGTAGGGCGGGCAGGGGCCTTGTTTGAAGCAGCCAAGGGGCTTGGATTCTTGCATATAGACATAGGGCCTTTTTGCAGCAGCCAAGGGGCTTTAAATCCTTGCGCATATAGACATAGGGCCTTTTTGCAGCATCCAAGGGGCTTGGATCCTTGCATATCGACATATGGCCTTTTTGCAGCAGCCAAGGGGCGTGGATCCCTGCATATAGACATAGGGCCTTTTTGCAGCAGCCAAGGGGCTTGGATCCTTGCATATAGACATAGGGCCTTTCTGCATTAGCCAAGGGGCTTGGAT